TGAGCCTGCCCGGACCAAAAATCTATGTATTTGTGTCAAAAACACATACTTCTATGTGTGCACGACTGAAGCCTAATTCAATATTACATAGATCTGTGTTTACGGGAATGACCCATTACACGGGGAAAAGATGGCCACAAATCCAAGGTTATAACCGTACATTGCTGGCTGGCCAAGCCTATACAATAGAACAGTAATCCAAAATACTAGAAACAGATTGGGAGTAATATTCCATTAGTGAGAATTTAAGTTTTGAAAATAGATTATAGGGCATTGGAGTAAGAAATTGATGACAATGGTAAAAAAGTTGGTAATCAAGTCTTTTTTTGGGGTCACAATGTGACAGTGACAAAATATTATTTTGTTATGGGTCTAGGAAAAATTTTCATTTGTGAATGGAATTATATTTGGTGCACACAACTTGCACAAATGAATTAATTTTATTGACATCACAAAGAAAAAGAAAAATGGTACCATCTCTTAAAGTGGTCAACAGTGGGGGTGTGATAACAAAGAAGGAATAACAGTTTTTTTTTTGCCGCACATGTTTAAAACATGCGCAAATTATGGTCACAACAAACAAAAATTATACCCTAGTAAGAAGCATCTCTCAGACAAAGACCTCACCAATAAATACATCAGTAAACACATGCTTGTACAAAAACTAGATGAAACATTGGTTTTGATTATGGTGTTGCTATTTATAGTTTTTTGTTGTCCAGCAGTTGTTTGTTTCTTGAAGTTGTTTTCTTGATATTAATCTGAAGAGACAATTGGTGACATTACCATTCAATGGTGGTGACCAGCAAGGAAATATTTTGGCCAGTCCATCAGCAGTGACTCAGAGGAGGATAGGAAGGGAGTAGTCCTCATGAACTGCCACCGTCTTGGTAGAGTCTGTTACCACAGTATCAAGGAATTGGGTGTCTTTGAACTTTTCAGTAGCACCTGCATCATCTACTAGCTGAATGCTATCTGCCCACTCAGCATTGAATCTAAGGCCCACCCCATACTTCTCAGGCTAGTACTCAGGTGCAAGTGTAGATGACAATCTAGCAGTTTAGGTTTACCAATTTAGATACTCTTTGAAGGCAGCATGAGTTGGGGGGGTAGCCTTCTTGTGTGGACTGTAGCTCCACTAGAAGTAGCTGCTGTATACTAGGCAAACACTCACCAGGAGACTTCTTGGTTAAATGCAACTAAGATAGGACAATACAATATGTATGATAATGTTCAAATTTCAAAGTTTGCATAACCAGATTTAATATCAATCAATCCCTCATAGCAGTACTGTGCCTCCTCCAGGTCTCAGGTTAGATCAATTCTAGACTAGTAGTAGTAGTAGTAGTAGTACAGCAGGTAAAGTTGGAACACAAAAAGATTTCAACCTTTGTTGGAAGAAACCTTTGATAATGTTCAATAGCCTTACTGGTGACATGGTTGCAGAAGGCATACTTCATAGCAGTGCAAGAAGATCAGGAAGCTTGTACTATCTGCCAACATTGGCAGTTACTCACAACCTGGATTTACTCCCCAGGAACAGATTTTATCAATATATTCAATCATCAGATATTCTCAAGGATCCACCACATCTCCATGGAGGGAGGTGCTGCCCCTCTGAACTGCTAGGGGTATTCTTATCCTCAGAGATAAGAAGAATAGTTCTGGCTCACACAATGCTTCTTCTACTAGTTCATTAGGTAAAATTTAATCAGATACTTGTTCATGCATCTTTGGAGGAGATATCACCCCCCAAAGCAGCTGGGAGCATTATTTGTCACAAAGTGATGGTTCAGGCCTCCCAATAGTCTCTCCTAGTTCCTGAGGTTGAAAATAGAAATCTGAAATTTTTTCCTATCCAATCAGATAGGCCCAATATGGTGTGTCATAGGTGGCTTGACCTCCCTTCTGATCTCACCAGCATACAGGTAGTAAGCCTAAAATAATCTGTAGCCCATCTTGCAAAGATGCATAGTCAAAGTAAACACAAACTAAGGAAGCTCCCACAGTCTCTTCTACTACAATATTCAGGTGCAAATTTTCATCTAACAATTGTAACAATCAAGTATTTGTCCTTGGCTGGTACAGTTGGGTTGAGATTCAAACACCACCAGTAATAGAAAGCAGAACATCAAAGCCCTCCAGAGCAACAGCCAAAAGAAGTAGTCAAAGGTTGGATACACTTCTTATGTGCACCTACCGTGTGTAATGATATGATGAAATCCCAGATACTGGCTTGTTGTCAGAGCTCCTGTAGCTGGACTTACTAAACCTTTGGTCTTCAGCAGCATGTACAAAAGGCATTGCAAGTTGAAACCTTCTTCTTGTTCAATTGGTGAGATCACATAAATACTATTACTGTGCTTGTCTGAAGGACCCTAGTCAGAGCAATTTCCACATGGGCATGATAATATGCATTAAGAATCATCAATGACATTTACAATGATAGACTTCAGTCATTCAATGGACTACCACCAACTTCATTCACTCCCAAAAGTCCCAATTGGACTTATTTTGAAAAATCGTTAGTACGATGCATTGGGAAAACAAGGACAGTTCTTTCTATCGAACTCCTATTATCTTTCTACAAAAGAGCAAAGGAAATAACACTTTACAATAGATTTAAATCAAATTTCATAGATTGAACTATAAGTTACACATTCACAGCTGTGTTTTTGCTCTCCATTTGGTCCAAAAAGGCATCAGATCCAAGGTCAACTAGTTTTGAGCTCATACCATTCACCATTTCAGTCAATTCTGCTTGATAGCCAATCATTTTTTGCCTGAGTTCTGGCCTGCTAGTACAGAGCATCCGAACTGCCAACAGACCAGCGTTTGTTGCATTTCCAATTGCAACGGTGGCAACTGGAATGCCTCGAGGCATTTGAACAATACTATACAAAGAATCAACTCCGCTTAGTGTCGAGGTCTTTACAGGAACACCAACAACGGGGAGGGGTGTCATAGATGCTACCATTCCAGGTAAGTGGGCAGCACCTCCAGCCCCAGCAATAATCACTCTCAACCCCCGATCAACCGCTTCTCGACTGTATGATACAAGTTTGTCGGGGGTACGATGAGCAGAGACAATATCGACTTCGTAAGGGATATCGAATTTTTTCAATATATCAATAGCTGCATTCATGGATGGAAGGTCACTTTGCGATCCCATTATAACGCCAACCAAAGGTGACTTTTCGAAACTCCCCCCTGGTAACAAGGAGCGGGGAATGCCTTCGATATCAAGGAGCAGTGATAGATTATCATCCATTTCTCCGTAAGAAGCCCCCGTGAGGTTGATATGACCCATTTTACGGCCCGCTCTGCATCCATGCTTTCCATACCAATGAACGACTGCAGTATCCATATCCATAGCTGCGTTGGAGCTTCTGAGCGTGTCTTCAACTGTACCCGACGGTGCTCCTAAAATGTTGACCATTGCAGCAGCCTCCACCACCATTTTTGTTGACCCCAAAGGTAGCGAGCATACCCCTCGAAGATGGTTTTCGAATTGACTCACTGCGCAGGCATCTTGAGTATAATGCCCAGTATTATGCGGACGGGGAGCAACTTCATTGAGTAAGACATCGCCATCTTTAGTGACAAAAAGTTCGACACCAAATACTCCAGAGGCTCCATTTCCAAGAGACGCAATTGCACTCCGAGCAATTTCTTCACACTTCGAGCGAATATCGGATGATACGTGACGAGCAGGTGCTATGACTACTCTACAGATAGAATCTTGCTGGATAGCATTGACAGCAGGGTAGGAGTCCGTGTCCACGTCGTTTGCTGACCGAACAACCATAACTGCAACTTCGCTTTCGAAGTTTATCCATCCCTCCGCATACAAGTCGAGACTTGACTCAGAAGAGCCATTTATACACCCAAGCTTCTTGAGAGCCTCCCCTATGTCCTCGTCTGCAATGGAGTTTAGAACCGCATTTCCCTGTCCGTCGTAACCACCTGTTCTGGACTTTAGCATGAGGGGTAGTCCAAGGTTTCTCGCTGCATCTTTGATACCATCCACAGACGACGTCTTCTGATAAGGAGGCAAGGGAATTTTTTTCGATAAAAAGTGATCCTTCTGAAGAAGCTTGTCTCGAATGATGGAGAGGACACGTCCGGATGGCTGAACGTTGACTCCCTCCGCTTCTAATTTTAGCAAGGTTTCGACTCCAACGTGCTCGATTTCTACAGTCAAGACATCAACACCCTTCGCTAATTCTCGAATGCTCGCTTCGTCCTTTAGAGAACCCTTGATAATATTCTCTCCTGGGACAATTGCAGCAGCAGGGCACTTGTTACCCCCCGGATCCAAGAATTTCATTTGGATTCCCAATCGAGGGGCTTCCAAGGCCATCATCCGACCTAACTGCCCGCCACCTAGACAGCCTACGTTGACGGGCGAGTCGGAAAGTTCTCGTTTTGTCATTGTTACTAAAGATAGTCGTAATCGGTTTGCTCTTGAATGACCTGCTCGATAACGGATCGTCCTCTTGTTGTCGACAGAGTCTATTCTTGCCTTGTTTAGATATATACCGTCCTGATTGTAGCTGAGCGAAATCTTCTTGTTTTCTTTCTTGTACCGTATGGTACGTGACCACACTCTTTTTTCGGAAAAAAGAAAGGATTGATTGATTGATACGTAAGTACCGTACTCGATACATCGAAATCAGAAGCTGTTCGGTGCTCGACTTCGATGTCGCACTGATTGGTTTTGAGATGTCTATTGATTCTGGTCGACGGACAGATCCATAGTTTCATTTCTTTCTGTGTCGTACGTGTGGTTCTCGTATTCGTACGTACGTACCGTATCCATAGTTCAGAGGCGTAGTTAATAGATGTACTAAACTGATATTTATTACTTTATTACTTTTATGATGTCAGGAATCAAAAATTCAACGGACAGACTGAGAGCAAGAAGGCCTTCGTTGCAGTCTTTTTTGGAATCTGGAATCTTAATTATACTCCAACGTAAAGACTAAAAAGACTCAAAATGCACCACACTTCTTGTTGGTACAGCAACAAACAAGAAAAACACAAAATTTTGGATCGGCACATATTTTCAATCGATACTCTAGTGGAAGGAATGCACATATTTTCTACATATTTTTGATCAGAAAATATGTTCATCCCTCACGCTAGCTAACGAGTCAACAAACACACTATTAGTAGACAACAGTTTCCTCCTAGCAAGAGACACCAACACCACGATAATGGGAGTAGTGGAGGTGATCACGATATACTATTTTGCGTGTTCACTCACTATGAGATCCCAGTCATCTCCACTAATGGGAAGCCTGTCCAGTATCATGCCCATGAGACCGTGAGCTCACCATGAGAGTAGTTTGCTATTCCAGCCTTCCGGCCGCTGTTGTTCTTGTTGCCATTGCCTGCCAACTTGTTGTTTGATACTAGAATAGTGTGGGGGATCGGACAATGAGACTCTTTGAGGCCGGTTGAATAAGAAGCTCCCTCTTCTTTGAGGTTGCCATCCTCCTCTTGTTGCTCTGTTTGCTGCAGCTAAGAAAGGAAATAGAATGTACTGACTAAGAGCATGGACCGGGACATTATTTATGTGTCTCAATAGTTAATAGAGACGTCATGGTGCCACTGCTTGTTGCTTATTCTTGTTTAGAAAATAAGAGTCTTAATTTTGTCCAGTTCTGCTGTCTTCAGATTCTGGCGGGCTCTCTGTTGAGTCTTTCAACAGACTTTAAATTTTGAATAATGAGTTCCATCATAAAATTTATTACATTTGATAGCACCAATTTGACCTCTATCCTCTATCAAAAGTAATAAATTTTGTTATATATGTGCTAAATTTTTGGTCTGTCAGTCTATCAAAAGTAGCACATCTATAATAACAGGAATCACCTAGTAGAAAGTACAAGTACAAGTACGTACATACTTGTGAATCGTTCTGTATTTGTACTTTGTACTGCTACCAAAAAATCATTTGCTAGAGGCTACAATTGCCATTGATAGTTGGGCTATCAGGAAGAATGGTTAATTCAACAAGTTCTGGTATTCACTACTAGTACTGACCATCATCTTGTTGTGAACTACTAAATAGTACTATAGTAATAGTGGTACTACTACTAGTAGAACTAGTAATGCTGGCCGTGAAAGCCAGAACCAGCAGCAGCATTACTTCTGTTGTGACGGGGGAGATGCTTCAAGTCGTTGCTCAGGGGGTATGGGCACGCTTCCACCAAAACTCCTTGGAGGGAAGTGCTGCCCATTGGATCAACTACTAGGAGCATACATTACAACAAAAGCTATGGTTCTGGCCATATAGTAGTGCCTCCTCTTCTAGTTCACGAGGTTAAATATAATATTAAGTTTTTTTGTTGCTCTGAGGGTACCCATGCCATTTCCAGAATCTTAAACAAGAAAGAGTGCCAATAGATAGTTTGCCATCGTACAGATCATGAAACATCCTCTGTTTATTCCTGTAGTCATACTAGCTAGTACTACTAGTTGTACTAGTACTACTACTACCACCGCTAGTTTCTAGTATTCCTGTCAGTTTTTTCTGAATTCTAGGTAAGTCATTTTTGTTTTGGTGGTGAGCGCTTGTGCGCAATTGACTGGGAAGATGTGCAAGCTCTTATTTGATTCTCCTGGTATTCAAAAGATTTCTGCAACTTGACATCAAGGTCTTCTAGGCAAATAGTACCTTAGAAAAACAAGTCACGTGATCTCCTTCAATATTGTTTCTTTGATATATCGAGCAGTTTCCTCAGATTTTTGGACTCCTAGCCCCTGCTGCCAACAATCAACTACATTCATCCAACCTGCTTTGCTTCCCAATTCCCCACCTAGTTGATACAATTCGAAGGCTTTTCTTTGGTCCTTCAAAACACCAACGCCATTGTGCAGCATCGCTCCAGCTGACACTGCAGCGTCTGCGTGACCTTCGTCAGCTGCCTGTAGAAAATCGTTTAGTGCCTTTTTGAAGTTCTGGGGATAACCCTCCGTTCCATGATAAAAGCTATTGGCTCGGACAAACCTCGCGTCTATGCTCCCGGCCTCAACTGCACTATCGAGCCGTTGCATAAAATCCTCAAGAGAACATGGTTCTAGTTCAATTTCAGGCTCTCCGTTCAAATGCTGGAAAGAATTATGCAATGTATCAACCTTGGTGAGTTCCAATAGTACGTATACCGTTACTGTTTTGAATAGTTACTGTGCAGAGAGGCGTATTTACGTACCAGCAGTGCGAGATAATAGAGTGCCCCGCTATGTCCAATATCGGCTGCTCGCTCGATTAGACGGATCGCATCGCGATAGCCCTGACCGCCACCCTGACCGAGTTGATTAACGCCAACAAGATACATGGCATCGCTATCACCTAGATCGATCGCTTTGTTGAATGCATTCATCGCTTCATCAATGTCGCCAGCGATAATTTGGTTTTTCTCCATGTTATCGGCAACAAAATCAGAGTGTGTACCCTCCTCCTCGCTTTCGTCGTCGACAACCTTTGGCGGAGGGAAACCCGTCCACGCGAGGTGTCCGAGATTATACCATCCAACGCGAGAGCCTGCGTTTCCAGCTTGGCGGAAGAGTTCCATCGCTTGGTTGACTAAGTCTTTCGCACGCGACTCGACATGTGCTTCGGACTTTAAAGTGCCATTTTTGTGAATACCTCGAGAAGCCTCCTTCAGCAATATATTTCCGACCTGGATTGCGGCTTCCGGATGATAGTATTTGGTTGCTGCATGCTTAAGTAGTTCTAGAATCTTTCCCCTTTTGTCACTATCGTCGTCGTTCTTCCTAGCTTTTCGAACGTCTTTTGCCAGTGTCTTCACTAATGTAACACCTTGGGATTTGGGATTCATATTTGTTTCCTGCGACTTTTGCCATGCTTTGTACATCATCGTCGACCGCTCTTGCTCTCTCTTTTTCTCCAATTCATCTGCTTCTTTCATCAGTTGAAGGGCCTGCCGATACATAATTTCTCCTTTATCTGAAATTGACGACGTCGATCGGAAGTGAAAGCTATCGCCAAGGTCGAATTGACTCCCTTTTGCTTTCCACCATACTTTCTGGGATTGATTCTGATTCTTCAGACGCGAATAGCTACGTTCAAAGGCTGTGCCAAGCGACCTCACTCTCTGTTGCAGGTTCGCACAGGAACTCCTCGTCACAGCAGATACTTGCATTCTCGTCAGTCATAAAGCGTTTCAAGACAAAATTTGGTTCGTGCTTCAAGGTATCAGTCCGAATAATTATTGTGAGCATATGGATCGCCGCATTTATTAGGGAACCTATTCCGGTGCAGAAGTCTACCAGTTCTCTCCAATCTTTTCAGGATTTGACTTCGCGATGAACAGATTTCTGGAAATCCACCTGCAAGAGAATTTTGCTCCACTTGTGCCACAGGAGCGCATTTTGGGAATTCGAGGAATAAATCGAAGGGGAGCAAAACACAAACGACGACAAAATAAAAAATTGTACTACTAGTACGTACAATACCGTACGGGGGCGGGGGTCTCTGACAACAGTGACACTTCATCTTGTTCACTCTTGTTGTTACGAGTACTTGCATTACTCCCTCAGGATCCAACTCATCCAAAGAAAAGGTGAAAAAATTTGGAGGAGACTCCACTAGGATTTTTGAGGCCATGGTTGCCATGACCACAAGCAGAAGCAACACTTGTTGATCATAGCATGACAACAACAAGAACAAGAGGAACCACCACMACCCTTCTTCTTCGGGTTCCTCCTCTTTCTTGTCACCACCAACAATACAGGAGGAGGAGGCTTCTCATTGTTTCTTGCTGGTGCTTTCTGCTTCTCCCTCTTACTATTAGTAGCACTACTACTACCTCCACCAGTAGCAGCACTATAGCAGCATGCTGGCAAGGAGCACCACCACTCCCATCATGCATGCTGCTGGTGTGATTCAGCTTTGCCTCCAACTTTTAGTACTGCCTAGTACTAGTAGTATCACAAAATCTGCAAATCCTTGATACCATTCACTTCATTTACTATTGAGGAAGTAGGATGAGTGTTAAATGGCTTGCAGAATTTTTTGCTATGATTCAACCACACCAGCAGCTGCTGAGACGAGTCCTTGTAACTCCCTTGTTAGTATCTTCTTGTCCTCCAGCCAGCAGCCACCACCACATCCACAGTACTGGCACCAACATGATATGGCTTGAAGCCCACTGCATACTTCTTCATACTTCTTTTGTACTAGAATAGAGAAGCATCAAGATTGATTATGAGGAATAATGTTTTAGTAAATAAATTACTATGGATATTCACTTTGTTTCTTCTTGACTGCTGGGTATGTCTGTTTCTGCAGAAAAGGTGATGGTTCTTCTTGTCCCAAATATTTGTAAGTGACTCACATTTGGTTTCCAATGAAACATGATTCTTTCTTACTTGTCAATGATGGAATGAGATTTTCATTTGTTGTTGGCACTTTGGTTGCAGCATCAAGATTCAGGGTGTGATGGAGTTTTGGAGTTTTTTTCTCTCTTACAAGTATATTTTGA